CAGGGCAGGGAAAGAGTCATCTTCAGTCAGGGGCTTGAAAGTGACAGATGTTGCTAGAATTTTTTTTAAAAAGCACCTGCACAGGAAGGCATTAAATATTTAAGCATTTTGGAGGAACTTTACAATCTTTGTGGTTTGGAAACAACAGATAATTGCTTTTATTGACTGGACCTGCACAGTCACTACCATGGTTAACCATTTCTAACCACAATTTGCAGCACTCTCTGAGCAGTTTACAGTGTTTAGCATATTGCCCCTAATAATTCAGCCAACTTTTTTCTCCCTTGTGACTGGGGAGGCTAAGCTAAAAAAAAAGACCTTTCTTCCCCTGCGGGGGTGGGTGGGCATAGTTACACTATTAGCTCGTTCCAAGAAAAGACTGGACAAGAAAACTCCTCCTTCTGGTGTAAGTTATCGCTCACCCATGTGCCTTGAATTTTCTTACTTAAGTACGACAGCTTCCTCTTAATCTGTCATTGGAATCCTCCTCGGTCTGACATTTGGTTTTTCTTCTCTGCTCTAGATAATTTACAGAACCACAGATATTCAATCATGGGAAACGCTTTCATTGCCCACCGTGGTCATATTGTCACTGCTGTTGCTGCTGCTGTGGCTTCTGCTGTTCTTGTCTTTTGCATTGGTAAGTCATCTAAACTCTAATATTGCAAGCTAGATAATGCTTTCATTTCTAGTGAGGGGTTGTCGTTGTTGTTGTTATTTTGCAAATTTCGAATCCCACCATTGCTCTTTAGCCAATGAAAGCCTGCACATTTCTCCTCTAGAGGTGCAGATCTATACCTTTTCTTTATTACAGGTAGTCTTTGAATTATGACCAGTTGCTTAGCAATGAATTGAAGTTATGATTGACCTTCCAAGGGCTAAGTACGACTCAGATTTGAAGTTATGACGGCTGCTCCCCCAAAGTCTCGTGGTTTCATTTTGGGGACTTGGCAGTTGGCCTGTATTTGCATCTGTTTGCAGTGCCCTGCAGTCACATGACTACAATATACAAGTTTTTTGCTGGAAACTAATGCTCACTTTGTTTCTGGTTAAAAAATAAAAACTCATTGAGGAAAATGGCTTTGCTTTACAACACCATGTTTGCTTTATGACCATCATGTTCACTAAACAACTGTTGCAAAAAAGGTTGTAAACTCAGGTTGACCATGTGACGCCTCAGCTTATGACGGTCATGATTCACATCAGAAATTCCAGGCTTCATTACGGTCATATATTGAGGACTAGCTGCATTCCCCGTTCCGATTTGTGACTGGTTAACTGTGGAGAATGTTTGTTAGATCTTGATCTCTTTTTCCCCCCCTTAGTATCACTGATAAATAAGCCAACTTTAAACCCTGATGACTGTAAGCTGCTATTGGCAGCCTCTGAACATGGGAGACGCCCGTGCCCGACTGACTGGATTGGGTACCAGATGAAATGTTTCTACTTCTCAGATAAAGAAGAAACCTGGTCTGCTAGTCAAGACTTTTGCTCTTTGTACAACGCCTCGCTGGCCGTTATTGAAGAGAAAGAAATGGTAAGAGGTGAAAATATCCTATTGCATTATTAAGAGAGTCAGGATGGTTCTGCTTTCGTGCAGGGTCCACACGTATCAAATGTACTTGTGGGGAATTCATCATCTTCTTTTAATGACCCCATAATCCCTCGCGGAGTGGAGTCGGGCAACTGAATGGAGCTGAGTGTTTACTGGCCAGATGCCCTTCCTGTTGCCAATGCGGAGTTATATTCAGCAGATATATTCTCATTGTGCCCAGAGAGAGAAATAGCTGCCTCTACCTAGGATCGAACTTACAGCCTCCTGATTGTGAGGCGAGAGCTCCACCTCTAGGCCACCTCACCAATTCTACTTGAGGGGAAACAATTTTATAAAATATGTCAGTTTTCATTAAGGAAAGACCATCTATCTATTGCTCCCTAATTTATCATCAGTCTCTTTAGCCTATGTCTACTACTCGTTTAATGGTTGTCCAGTTTAGTGACCATTCAAAGTCGTGATGGTACTGAAAAAGCAACTTGATGAGCGGTTCTCACATTGACAACTCGTGCAACGTCCGCATGGTCATATGGTTGAGATTCAGATGCTTTGGAATCAGCAGGAGTTTATGATGGTCCCGCATCTCACAATCACGCGATCGCCATTTTTGCATTACACAGTAGACTTCCAACAAGCCGCATGAACAGAGAAGCTGGGAGTAAAATTGCCAAGTTATGGATGTTGCACTAAATGACCACAGGTGATTCTCTCAAAAGCCAAGGCAAAAGTGAGGCTGTCAATCCGTCACAATCATACGATCTCTTGCTTTACAAGTGTGTTGCTTAGCAACAAAATTGCCAGCCCCAGTTGTGGTCAATAAGCAAGGGCTACCTGTATTTCTATAGGCTATTTTGAAGTGTTCTATTTCCTTTATTTACCTCTAGACTGACTTTTGTTTTAATATCTTCCAAATATCTTCTAACTCTAATATCTTCCAAATCTTACCTGTCTGATTTTTATTCTTTGCCATCTAGTCAAGCTTCAGCTTTGCTTTAACTCTATCCTGGTTCCAGCATTGCCCATTGCTAACTACTTCCCCCTTCTCTTCTCTCTCTTCATTGTGGACTGACCCAGCTGGATTTGAGCATCATCACAGTGGAGCTACTCTGGTGTTGCTTGACCTCCCCACCAGTGGCTGGTCTTGTAAGGTCTTGACGTTCTTGCTTCACCTGGCTCTTTTGTGGGGATCTTGTGGTCCAGCTTTGCTTCTCTTGACCACTCAATGCGTCTGGCCGTTCTGGCTTGACTTCTTCTTTAGCCTCCCCTGTATTGTGTTCTGACCCAGCCTTCACGAGCCCCGCTCAACAGCCTACTCGTGAGCAGGAACCCCTTTTTATTTAGAAAGGCAGAAATTACACAGCATTTACGGACCAAGCTCCAGGTCGACATCCTTAGGTGATTCACAAGCCGTCGCAGTCTCTGAGTTCCCTGCGGGGAGCTCCAATTAATCCCAACACAAAGAGTCCTGACCAACCTGGTTAGTGGCAAAGAAATCCTGGCAAGGAATCCGCCGGAGGGAACTCTTCTGGAGCATTAACGGATGTCTCTGACAACCATGCCTCCAACACCCCTCCTCTTTATATCCCAGCCAGGGGTGGGGGCTTGTTAACGTCTCCTTCTTGGCCTCAGTCCTGCATTGTTCTCCTCTCCACACTTCTCTGCACATATGCACATCTGGGACAGGGCCCAGCTGTTCCTCCCCCTCGCTCAACTCAGGCCCCCAAAACAGCTGTCTCCCCACCTGAGCGTGAGTAGATGGGCCCTACTTTGCTTCTGGCTCTGAGGTCTCTTACTCCTCAGAGCCTTCCACCAGCCCAGACACCCCCTCCATCTCCTCTGACTCCTCTGACTTGACTGCCTTTGTGATGACCCGTCGTCTCTCAAAATAACCCCAAAACATACACTAAAGTCCGGTAATGCCTGCAACTTCAACTTCACCGTTTTATTAGGCACGGTTTAAAGTCACAAAAGTAAATAATGAGACAAAAGGAAACCAAAACAAACCGCATTGATGAGAGTTCTGAAGGAAGCCAAGATAATTAATCATACATTCCAGGAAGATACGGGGAGAGTCCATGGGAAGAACGCCAACAAAGATAAACCTCTTTCAAAGGAAACAATAAACTTTGACTCCAGCAATTCTGACTACGTAGTTACAAACGTGTATACATAGATCCCAGATGCAAGCCACGAGGAGGATCATGGTAATCTCCTCCTGAGTGGACCTCGCTTTCCCCTGATCCTCTCCTCCCTGCGAGACCTAGGATGGAGAGGAGATGGGCCTGGATCCTCCTCTGATTGCTCAGCCTGGCCTCTGCCCTTCCCCAGCCTCCTCCACCACCTCTGGAGCCACACTCCCACTCCCTGTTGGCTGTTCCTCCTCTTCCTCAGAGTCAATCTCCACCAGGGGAATGACAGCCATCTCCGCTGGCAGTCAACAACCCACAACAAACTAGGCTTTCTTGCACTGGTTGGCGTGGTGGAAGAGCCACAATTCCTAGACCTCTTAAGTACAAACCAGCCTCTTTCTAATGCTTTCGGCCTTCTTGTTCTTCTTCCTGTTCTACCTTTCTCCTGCTTTTTCTTTCACAGAGATCTCTGCTGGTGCAGGTGGCTTCTGCTATGGGATGTCGTCTTTGCATGACCCAAGAAAGGGTACAATCAATTCAGCCTTCTGGATATTTCCTAGGGCTCTTCTAAGCAGTGGTGGTATTCTAACAGTTTGGCCCAGTTTGGCCGAATTGGTAGTTCCAAGGATCATTTGTGAGTGAAGGGTCATTCGGTTCACACTGACGATCAGCTGCTGGGCCCTCCCGCCTGCCCTGGCTCTATACTGACCTTTATTTCCTGCTTTTGAAGCTCAGCTGCTTCGCACAATACAGTGGATTGCCACGCGTCAGCTGTTAGAGGCAGGGAGAGTGCAGGATTGCAGGAATAGAATAGAATAGAATAGAATAGAATAGAATAGAATAGAATAGAATAGAATAGAATAGAATTCTTTATTGGCCAAGTGTGATTGGACACACAAGGAATTTATAATGATGCAAATGCTCTCAAATTATGTCTCATATACATAAAAGAAAAGCTACATTCGTCAAGAGTCAAGGTATCATCAGGTACAACACTTAATGATAGTCATAGGGTACAATAAGCAATCAAATCATACTAGGAAACAGTCAATATAAATCTTTAGGATTCATGTGACAAAGTTACAGTCATACAGTCACAAGTGGGAGGGGATGGGTGATTAGGAGTGATGAGAAGATTAACAGTAATAGTAGTGCAGACTTTGTAAATAGTTGGACAGTGGTGTTGAGGGAATTATTTGTTTAGCACGGTGATGGCGTTCGGGAAAAAAACTGTCCTTGTGTCTAGTTGTTCTGGTGTGCAGTGCTCTATAGCGTTGTTTTGAGGGAAAGAGTTGAAACAGTTTATGTCCGGGATGTGAGGGGTCTGTAAATATTTTCACAGCCCTCTTTTTGACTCATGCAGCATACAGGTCCTCGATTGAAGGCAGGTGGATAGTAATTGTTTTTTCTGCAGTCCTAATTATCCTTTGAAGTCTGTGTCTGTTCTTTTGGGTTGCAGAACCAAACCAGACAGTTACAGAGGTGCAGATGACAGACTCAATAATTCCTCTGTAGAACTGGATCAGCAGCTCCTTGGGCAGTTTGAGCTTTCTGAGTTGGCGCAGAAAGAACATTCTTTGTTGTGCTTTTTTGATGACGTTTTTGATATTAGGTGTCCATTTTAGGTCATGTGAAGTGTGTGTTTGGCGCGTCCGTGTGTGAAGTGTGCAGAACCGGTGGTAAAAAAATTTGAAACCCTCCAATGCTTCTAAGGGTCTTCGTCATTGCATATCAATAGTAGGGAGATAAGCTACTTCCTCGTTCTTTCTTCTTTCTTCTACTTGAGACACAACTTATCACTGCTAGGCTTTTTGCTACTCTGCAACCTACTGACAACTTAATCTTCATGTCCTTATTTGACCCTATATACTTGGTCTCCCCTCCTAGTTTTGCTGCCACGCAACTTCTCTGGACTCTTGACCTCTTCCCCTCTTTTGCTAAGGAGGAATTCTTCAGCGGCCCTGCATAGTACAAATATACACACACAAACACAGAGACACTGGTGATTCATCTCTCCAAAAAGGTCTTTGGGCTTAGCTCTGTCTCTCCTTTCAGCCGTATTTTTTCCAGATTTGCTCTTCCCAGCTTCCTCTATTTTTTTAGCTCTTTCACTTGTTGTTGTTGTTGTTATTGTTGAAAGCTCTGGAACTTTAGTAAACCTGCCAGCCTTTCCTTCTTGAAATAGCCACATCTTTTTTAAAGGGACCGTCTCCCTTTTCTCCTGAGTGGGACCCTTTTAATCCTTCAGGGAAAAGAAGTGGGAGGAAACAGCAGGATTGTTTTTACCTCCAAAAACCTCTAATAAAATGATATAAGTGTCGGGGTTCCAACCGATGCCCAAATGAAATTAAGAGTCTGAAGCCATTCAGCAAGAAACGTTGTTTATTAGGAGCGCCATGTTGGTTTCACCCAGTTCACATCTTGCCTTTGACCCTGTTTCCCCCCTCCCCCCAGAGTGTGTCACCAATCACATTCCCCAATGAAGCAATTTTGCGGGTCATAGAAGCCACTCCTTCCAGCCATTGCAGGTCTCCGTGGAGATGGACTTAACTTTGGCCAGCTAGGCTATGTCTTGTTTTGACTGAGGTGTGAACTCCTTGATGCAGCTGTGAGGCGCAGTTCCCATCCCCCTGCCTATGGCAACTTGGGAGAAGTTCAGGAAAGCTTCACGGGTTGACAATAAGATCATTTATATTACGGCTGGGTTAGTGCTCTGATAGTCTGATTGATTCTAAAAAGGAGCTTTGAAGCACACAGGTATGAACACGGCAGCTTTCTGCAGTTTGAAACCGTTGCTTCTTTTTCTGAGTTTCTGGGGCAGATGCTGGCTTAAGGATCTGAAGACATGCTGAATTTATGTTCTGATGCTCTTTGTAAAAATACACTCTACAGCTGTGCAAAGCCTTAATTTATAGCCTTGAAAAATGTGAAATCTTATCTATTTCTTTCTGATCATATGCAGAGAAGACATATAATAATAAAGAACATGTCCTTAATTTATTAGTGTGACGTAGAGGGTCAAAGTATTTTGAAGAGAGAGCGGTGAGTTCCAAACTCAAGTCCACCCTGAGCTAGTGATTTGGAGCAAATCTCCCATCTGTTTTGTTGTAGAGGAGGCAGTTTCTGTATGCTTGTATGATCTCCTACAACTATGTAATGCCCTGTTTCCCCCCCCCCCAAAAAATAAGACCTATCCAACAAATAAGGCCTAGTATGTTTGTATGTGTGCCCCTAATATAAACCCTACCCCCCAAAATAAGTGCTACTTAAAAGCCTGTGCAGCTGGCTACCCATCTGGCCCATTCCCTCTGGTTGCTCACAGTGCCGTGGCCATGAGATGAGACAGGGGGCTGGTGGAGCTGCCCCACACACCTGCACTGGCTTACCTCAGGGCTACTGCAGCCATGCCATCCACGCCCCGACAACTGCCTTGCAGCGGCAGCACCAGCAACCGTGTGCAGCAGGAACCCACGTGGCCACCAGCCCACTATTTCTGCTTGCTCACAGCCATAACAGAGCAGGAGGCAAGCAGTGTGCTGGTGCAATGTCCACAAGGCATGCGTCGGGGCATGGATGACCTGGCTGTGGGGGACCTGGGGTAAGCTGGTGAGGAGCGTGTGGGACAGCTCCACCTCCCCAACTTGCCTTGTGGCCACGGCACCAGTGTGTCACTCAGCCTCCTGCCTCCCCACGAGAAAGCAGAAGTAGGCCTCCCATACATGGAGAAAAATAAGACACCACCCAAAAATAAGTCCTACTAGTTATTTCGGGGCCCAAAAGAAAATAAGACTTATTTTGGGGGAAACACAGGTATATAATATATAATCAAATAATATTATGGAATTATCAGCCAAGTCCAAATATATGTGATTGAGGAAATAGATAAAGGTTAAAACAAAAGTATATTCAGGGTCCGTAATCATTTCAGAGTGATTTAATGTTTACCATTTATACTCTCCAAAGGATTTTGTGCAGCGTTACAAAGGCAGCATTTCCCACTGGATTGGCCTCCAACGAGACCCGAAGCAGCCCTGGAAATGGGTCAACGGAAATGCTTCCACGTGAGTCATCCTTTCTCTCTTATACCTTCACTTGAGGAGTGGTGAGATGGGCGGCATATAAATTTAATAAATTAATGAAATAACCTCTATACCAGCCAAATGCTGAGAAGAAGTGGTGTGAGGTTTATTCATCATCCGGTGCCATCCTGTTTCTTGCATCAAGCATAAATGCACGGCATACTTTTGTAAATGCTAATGTTGTGTCCAAAACAGAGGTGGTGTTCAGTAGGTTCTGACCAGTTCTGGAAACTGGTAGCAGAAATTTTGAGTAGTTCGGAGAACCGGCAAATACCACTTCTGACTGGTCCTGCCCCATCTATTCTCTGCCTCCCAAGTTCCCAGCTGATCGGCTGGCTCTTCTTTGGTTGCCCTTCATGGGAGAACGGAGCTGGAAAGCAGGTTAGTGGGGTAGGGAGGGAATGGGATTTTGCAGTAATCTTCCCCTTGAGTGGGGTGGGAATGGAGTATATCCTATTACAGTATAGCCTTCCCCTGCCACGCCCACCAAGCCACGCCTACTTAACCGGTAGTAAAAAAAATTGAGTCCCACCACAGGTCCAAAACTAAGGAATTTGGAGAATGGAGGCAAGCCAATGTGGTGTAGTGGTTAAGTTGTTGGACTTGAGAAACTGAGGTTAGGTCCCCCTCTCAGCCACAAAAGAAATCTGGGGGTTATGGACCGGTCCTTTTTTCTCAGTCTCAGAGCCAGTGTGATGACCCGTAGTCTCTCAAAATAACCCCAAACCTAAAACATACATTAAAGTCCGGTAAAAACTTCAACTTCACTGTTTTATTAGGCACAGTTTAAAGTCACAAAAGTAAACAATGAGACAAAAGGAAACCAAAACAAACCGCATTGATGAGAGTTCTGAAGGAAGCCAAGATAATTAATCATACATTCCAGGAAGATAACTGAGGAGAGTCCATGGGAAGAACGCCAGCAAAGATAAACCTCTTTCAAAGGAAACAATAAACTTTGACTCCAGCAATTCTGACTACGCAGTTACAAACTTATATACATAGCTCCCTGCTGCAAGCCACGAGGAGGATCATGGTAATCTCCTCTTGAGTAGACCTCGTTTTTCTCTGATCCTCTCCTCCCTGCGTGCCCTAGGATGGATAGGGGATGGGCCTGGATCCTCTTCTGACTGCTCAGCCGGCCTCTGCTCTTCCCCAGCCTCCTCCACCACCTCTGGAGCCACACTCCCACTCCCTGTTGACTGTTCCTCCTCTTCCTCAGAGTCAGACTCCACCAGGGGATTGACAGCCAGTGTGATCTAGTAGTGAAGGTTTCACACTGAGACAGTGGAGATCCAGGTTAATGTCCCCTCTGAACCATGGAAATTCCCTTGGTGACTTAGAGCCAGATTCTCCCTCAGTCTTGATTGCCTCATGTATTAGAGGGGCAGTAGTAGGATTCAAAAATTTGGCTTGGTGGGTGTGGCAGGGGAAGGATACTGCAAAATCCCCATTCCCTCCCCATCCCACTAACCTGCTTTCCAGCTCCATTCTCCTGTGCAGGGCAGTCAAAGAAGACCCAGCCGATCAGCTGGGACTCGGGAGGCAGGGAATAGATGGGGGCGGGGCCAGTCAGAGGTGGGATTTCTCCGAACTACTCAAAATTTCTGCTACTGGTTCTCCAGAACCGATCAGAACCTGATGCATATCACCTTTGTAGAGGGGTACCTGTGAATTTGTGCAGCAATTAAGGCAGCAGGATAGAAACTGGGAGACTGTGATCCCAAAGGTGCTTTTCCAAAGGCAACTGGACTTCTTGGTTCTTTTCCCCTTGAAAACATTTCACTTTTCATCCAAAGAAGCTTCTTCTGTTTTGGGTCCAAGAAGTCCTTGACTTTTGAAGAGCATGCCTGGATGATTGCGAATCTCCATAGACGGGAGACCGTGTAGTCTTCCCTTGGGTATAAAGCCAGCTGGTCCCTTGGGCCAGTCACTTTCTCTCATTCTTACGAAGGAAGCAATGGCAAACCACTTCTGAAAAACTTCGCCAAGAGTTGTCCAGGCAATCTTTGAGAATCAGACACAATTGAACATAAGGAAAAACAAATGATCTGTTCCTAATCAAAAAGTTGAGATAAAAGTCTGACAGATAAACACGTAAAGAAGAATAATGCCACAATATGGTTGCTTTCTCAATTAACTTGGAGTCCTAAGTCAAAATTTGTGCTGAGGAAAAGAATAGACATACCAGCACTAATCATACCTTATTGAAATTAGCCACAAATAGCAAATTCATGGCCTCCAGGTGGACTCCAGTTCCCATCTCTCAGCTGTTTCGCCGAATTCCAGACAGGAAGGGAAACAAAGGTCTCAAGGTAATGATCAAATGAGTCTTTATTCGTCCATACAATGCTCCGGATTCAGGTAACAACGAGTAACCAAAAGGAATTAAAGTCAGCTCTGGCACATCTCGCAGCCAGAGCTGTATTTATACACCAGCTAACAACTTAATGAGTTTATCCACCATCCGGTGAGTGCTATTGCATCACATCCGGCCACCATGTAATACCCTATACACCATGCTTTTATCCATTAATTATCCACCCCTATTTACCATATTTGTACAAATATCATATTCCATCATTATATTTACGCCTATGAAGTGACCCTCCACCCCTCCCGAGATCGTTAGTTCAACAGGCAGTATCTTAGTCGCTTTGTTTACAACCGCCCACAGGCTGTAACAGCTCAGCGTGTGACGGTCAGCAAGGCTCATCGAACCCCAGGTTGGGTGATTAACAGCACTTCCCCCCTCGATGGCATAGTCTGATATGGCACAACGCGTGGTGTCACGGCTCCAGCATACCCTGGAGACATGACACCATCAGCTCTGAGCACAGAGGATGCGTGAGTTGTAACTCAAAATTTCTAGGAAACACCACACTGGCTACTACCACACTAGTCCCCTGCTATCTTCTTATCTCCCATTCAGTTTTGCTTCTCTCTATAAGTAAGCTGAGATTTGCTCATCCTTGACTCAGTAAAAAAACCTATATTGGCGTGAAATTTGAGACCTCGATTGCTATCGTTCCAATCCAAGGCACTTGGCCTGACTTTCCTCCAAGGCCATGGGTGGTGAAGAAGATCTTAGGCATCTTGTGAGTGCTCATGGAGATTGTTGGAATAAAGAAGCAAATTAAGTCACCTAAGGGTAACTTAAGCCTCTCTTACTTATATGTGGGGGTGAGAGGAAGGCAAGGCTATGGGGACATGGCAGAAAAGAGGTTTTGCTAAGGCAAGTTGACGGCGTGGTTGGATGCCAGCGGGGAACAAAGCTTTTAACCCTTGTTGCCCTTGTGTTGCAGGTGGGAGGTCCTCGGTGATGGAGGGAACTGTGCCTACCTGAATGACGAAGGCAGAGCAAGCTGTTCCAGGTGCAGCACCCTCCATCGCTGGATGTGCAGCAAGCCTGATGAGTTCACACGTCCAAGATAGTTTGAAGACATATGGCTTCCAATCCACCCAACTGGCATTATCTCCTAATGTTGGATAAAGTAATGCATGGGCAGCCCAGCCCAGCCCAGCTTTGCTTCCCCAAGGAGGCATCCAGCCACGCTTACCTCCTCCTCGAGACTGCTGCTGCCACCGCGCTCTCCCTCCTTGGCCAGGTTACCCATGGTGGGTGCAGGAGGGCAAAGTGTGTGGGTCAGAGGGAGGCCCACTCCCTTTCCGTGTGAGGAGACTTGGCTTTGTAAGCAAAGCATCCTCAGCGATAGGATGGGAAAGCACCAGGGGACGGTGAGAGGGCAGCAGGGCTGCTGGTGGCCCAATGTTAAAGCAGGACCTCCCTCAGATCCTCCCTCCCTTCCTCTCCTTCCAATCTTCTTCCTTCCTCCCCTCCCTCCCTCCCTGCCTCTCTCCTTCTCATTCCCATCTCCTTCCTGCCTGCCTTCTTCCCTCCCTGCCACCTTCTCATTCCCAACTTCTTCCTCCCTCCCTCCCTCCCTTCCTGCCCACTTCTCATTCCCATCGTTTTCCTTCATCCCTCCTTCCCTGCCTCCCTCCTTCTCATTCCCATTTCCTTCTTTCCTTTTTTCTTTGTCTTTTTCTTTCCTTCCTTCCTTCCTTCCTTCCTTCCTTCCTTCCTTCCTGCCCACTTCTCATTCCCATTGTTTTCCTTCATCCCTCCTTCCCTGCCTCCCTCCTTCTCCTTCCTTCCTTCCTTCCTTCCTTCCTTCCTTCCTTCCTTCCTTCCTTCCTTCCTTCCTTCCTTCCTTCCTTCCTTC